TTTCTATACACTGATAATGAAGCAGCAGAGAAAGAAGTCAAGGAATAAATCCCATTTACAATTCCACCAAAACCAGTAAGATACCTAAGAATAAACCTAACCAAAGAGGGAAGAGATCTGTACTGAAAACTACAGTACACTTATGAAAGAAATTGAAGAGGACACAAAGAAATGGAAAAAACATACCATACTCGTGGATTAGAAAAACAAATATCGTCGAAATATCTATACTACGCAGGACGCCTGGGGGGCTCAGCAGTGGAGCGTCTGCCTTCGGCTCAGGCTGTGACCCCGGGGTCCTGGGATCGAGTCCCGCATCGGGCTCCCTGCATGGAGCCTGCTTCTCCCTTGGCCTGTGTCTCTGCCTCTCTCTGTGTCTCTCATGAATAAATAAATAAAATCTAAAAAAAAAAAAAATCAGGAGTGAGAGGAAGGAAGGAGCACAGAAAGGGGAGGGAGGACTGCGATTCCCTCTCAGTCCAGACAGAGGGAGGCAGAGCACAACTCCAGTCATCTCTGTGGCTACTCAGGGCAACAAAACCTCTGTGCACTTAGGGTGATGGATTCCTTAGATCATTATTATAAACAGTTTCATCCGAGAATTCCTCGCCCTGAGAAAAAGGACGTAGTTTTCAATCATTTAAGAGGAAACCTCAGCAAATAAGAAACCACATTCTCTACCGAAAGAGTGAAAAAACTTAAAAAGCACTAATAATGAATATAGGAGCTCCGACTCAAAGACTCCTACTATCTAATACTATTTTTAAAAAGAAAAAAATCTCCCAAAGGTAAAGGCTATTTAGAAAATAATGTATAACAAAAAACACTGCACACTAGAACCTATGTGATACAGTGAAAACATCAGGAAAAATTATTTACAAAAATATCTACATCCTGAAGGTGAAAACAGCCTGCAGCACTTGCCTGTTTCTATGACAGAAATATCTCTAGACGATGGCTCAAGTCAAACTGTGAAGTGGCTCAACACCCTAACCCTAACCCCAATCCCATCCCAACCCTAACTCTGACACTAGCCCTATCCTAGTCCTAACCCTAACTCTAACCCAATGACAACACCAACCCCAACCCCACCCCTAACCCTAATCCTAGCCCTATCCGAGTCCTAACCCTAACCTCAAGTCCAACCCCAACCCCAACCCTAATCCTAGCCCCATCCTAACCGTAACCCTAAGCCAATCATGACACCAACCCCAACCCCATCCCTAACCCTAATCCTAGCCCAATCCTAGTCCTAGCCCTAACCCCAAGTCCAACCTCAACCTCAACCCTAATATTAGGTCTATCCTAACCCTAACCCTAACCGAACCACGACACCAACCCGAACCCCACCCCTAACCCTAATCCTAGCCCAATCCTAGAACTAACCCTAACCTCAAGGCCAACCCCAACCCCAACCCTAATCCTAGCCCCATCCTAACCGTAACCCTAAGCCAACCACAACACCAACACCAACCCCACCTCTAACCCTAATCCTAGTCCAATCCTAGTCCTAGCCCTAACCCAAGTCCAACCCCAACCTCAGCCCTAATATTAGGTCTATCCTAACCCTAACCCTAACCCTAACCAAACCACGACACCAACCCAAACCCCACCCCTAACCCTGATCCTAGCCCTATTCTAGTCCTAACCCTAACCCTAACCCCAAGTCCAATTCCAACCCTAACCCTAATCCTAGCCCTATCCTAGTCCTAACCCTAACCCCAAGTCCAACCCCAGCAGTGTGGACTCTGCCCACAGGCGTGGGCTACGGAGCAGTGACGAGGTGCCTGTCCGCTCAGGAGCCGGGTGACCTCAGGGCCGAGCCGGGCCGGTGCCCCGGGTGTACGCGGGCTGTAGACTCGGGGAGGGCCTGGAGGCTGGGGGGGCCCGCGCGGAGCGTGGTCGTGGGGTCGCTGAGCGCCCACCAGCACTCGCAGGAGGCCCCGGTCCCTCGCAGTCGCCGAGCCCCGGGGATTGAAAGGCCGCGGGCAGGTGGCAGGTGAGGGTGAGCACGCGGAGTGGGCGGGGGGAGCCCGGCCGGGGTGTCAGAGCAGGACGGCGCTGGCCCAGGAAAGAAGTCATCAAAAGAACCAGATGGAAATTCTAGCAGCAGAGCCGGGTCCGACCAGAGAGCTGCGTCCAGAACGTACGACGAACAGTTAAGACTCATCAAGATGAAAACGCGGCACCGGTTGACAGGCGGCGAAGCGCTGTCAGGGCCTCCTCCCCACGGAGGACGCGCGGCCTGGAGCGCGTGCAGGGCCGCCCCACGCACTGCGGTAGCAGCCAGCCCGGCGGCGTGGGCAGCGGCAGCTCGCGGACCCCGGGGCCCCAACGCTTGGGCCCAAAAGCCCAGGTTCTCACGAGGGAGGCCCGCGGGGCTGGAAACGCCCGGTGGCCGTGGGCGTCGACGCCACAGTCGCCCTGGACGCGGACCCCCGGCTGCAGGGTCTCGCTGGGGCCACGCGAGTGACAGCCGCCCGTCCCTGTGTCTGTGGCTCTGCACGTGGCCCCGTGGCCCGGGAACCGGGGGGGAGGATGCGGGGTCCCGGGGGCCACGGGTGCGGGCCTCATGCCCAGGACGCAGTCGACGGGCGCAGCGCAGACGCCGGGAGCCCAGGAGCCCAGGAGCCCAGGCGGCGGGAGTGGAGGACGCGCCTCCTGTCCGGCCTCGCCCTGTGGCCCTGTGACCCACGTGCGACCAGGGGCCCCGGTGCAGGCAGGCAACGTCTACCTCAGACGTAAAACTGTCTATCAGGCCTTTTACCTGCAAAATGGGCAAATTCAGGAAAAGTGGAGAGTTGCGATCCGGGACAAGTCACCGCAAAACCACAGGCGAGTCCGAGCAAGGCCGGGCGGGGTGCGTGGAACCAGCATCCTTCGGGGGGAGGGGGAAATCAGGGTGAGGCCCGTGTCTGGGCTCCCGGGTTGCGGGGCTGCAGGGACTCCACAGACCCCACCCCCCGTGGGGATGCTCTCCCGGGAGGGTCCTTCTGTGATGTGGTCGGGGACTGGAGGCAGGACCCTGTGGCCGGGAGACCCCGCTGGGCGACGGTGGCCTTCGTTAGCCTCACGGTGGAGGCCACGTGAGTCTAGATTCCTGAGCTGTGACTGTAACTCTGCGCTGTCAGCATGGCTTGTCCTGGGGAGAAAAGGGGGGTGGCACTCACGTTCGGGGGGGCTGTCGGGGGGCCTGCAAAGTCCTTTTTTTTTTAAGATTTTATTTATTTATTCATGAGGCACAAAGAGAGAGAGATGCAGAGACACAGGCAGAGGGAGAAGCAGGCTCCACGCAGGGAGCCCGAGTGGGACTCGATCCGGGACCCCGGGGTCATGACCTGGGCTGAAGGCAGCGCCAACCCACTGAGCCACCCCAGGGGGCAGGCGCCTACAAAGTCCTTTCAAGTGATGAGAGAGGGAGGGGGGGAGGGAGCGATTCACAGACAGATGCAGAACTAAAGTGAGCCTGGTGTGGATGGTTCAAGGGTTTTCATCATAAAATTTTTCAGATTTTCTGTATGTTTTAAGAATTTTTTTTTCCGGCCCCGGAAGGGCTGCGAGGTGAGGCCTCCCGCCACACCCCTGCTCCGCCAGGAGCCTGGAAGTTTCTGGGGCGGGCAAGACCCTGTAATGACGCAGGGCAGCCTGGGCAGCGCCCCCAGCGCCTTCCCACCCATCACCCACCTGGGCCGCAGGGGCCGCGGCTGCGAACCTTGGGGCCACCGGCCGGACCCCACTTCTCGGGGCAAACCCGCCCACAGGTTTGCTCACAGGCGGGCGTCGAGGCCACGCGGGAGTGATCGCACGGGGCGTGCAAGGGGCGCAGTCCCTGGGGCTGCTGGGCTCCAGCTCCCACCCTGAACGCAAGCTGAGGGGCGTGGGGTGCCCCTTGCAGCCACTGGCCGGCCTGTCCGCCGCAGGCTCCGCGCCCCCAGGTGCCCGCCCCGGCTCCTGAAGCCTCGGTTCACCTGCTCACAGCGGGCAGGCCGGGGGGGGGGGGGGGGCAGCAGGTCGGCCCAGGTCCCCTCCCCCCGCGGGCCCCTCCTGCCCGGCGCAGCCCTGCCGCCCACAGAGGGCGAGTGACCTTCCCAAGCCCGGGCCGACGCCGTCCTGCCCGCCTGGACCCTCCTCAGCCCCTTCGGCCGCTTAGGAAGCCTCAGTCCTGCCTCAGGAGCCTTCCAGAACACAGCGCTCCCGGCCCGGGCGCCACCTCCCGCCAGTCCCCGCGGCCTTCTGCCCTCAGCCAGCCCCACTCGTCCCCCCTTTTTACCTGCACAGGCTCCTGCCTCCCACCTGCCCGCCTTTCCAGAATGCCTCACCTTGCCTGCCCGGACACCGCACTCCGACGCCCTCCCCACCATGGCTCTGTCCTACTTCCGCGGCATCGTTTGCTTTCTGAGACGCTTATCCAACCCGTCCACTGGCCACCCGCTGCCCTGCGCCCGGAGGAGGGCCTGGGCCCTGAGCACCACCCTGGGCTGGGCGGCCTGGCCACACCGGGCAGACGGGGCGGGTTCCTGGCCGAGAGCCAGCCTGGGCTCCTGGATGCGTGCCCGGGGCCCCGGCCCTTTCTGGTTTGCCCTGTCGGGGGCGAGCCACGGTTGGGGCCGTGTCCCACCCAGAGCTCAGTGCCCAGCCGAGGCACAGAGGGCCCTCAGGGGCAGCAGAGGTGGGCACACCTGCACGCCGCACGGGGAGCTGGTGCAGCACGCACACGCCCCAGCTGGGCACACATGGTGGTGGAGCGAGGGCTGAGTTTTACTAATCAGAGGCAGCGTTTTCATTATTGTCCTTGTAGAAGTTTTGCAAAAGCAGCACTGGAAGGACCTTGCAAGTCAGACTTAAATTTAAAAAGGGGGAGGGGACGAGATCCCAACCTGTGTGAGAGAGAACCCGCTTCTCTGGGCAGGAGGCCACCGGAGGGCGTGCGCGTGAGTGTGCGTGTGCGCGTGTGTGCACGGGCCGCTGGTGCCGGGGACAGAGACAGGAGCCAGAGCCAGTGAGGGGCAGCGCACAACATTTATTGAACTGCAACGTGGTGCAGAGGCGCTTCCTGGCCCGCCACGCTGGAGATGCCTGCAGGCCCACGTCGCATCCCCGCACGCGACAGCTCGGTGACCTCAGGACTCCAGCGCCCACCTCGCCTGCACCTTGGCCCAGGACCCTGTCCTCTGTTCTCCCCCCTGGACCAGGACAGGCGCGCCCTGCCCCCCGCGCAGACCTGTGCGGACATGTGGATTGAGCGAACAGAGGCTTCGGGGAGCGGGGTCGGCAGGGGCGCTGGGTGGGAGCGGACCCGCTCAAAGCAGCCACAGTTCTAGGCGGTCTAGGACAGACGGCTTGTGGGAGGTGCTGTCAAAAGGTCAAACCAATTCTTAAACAGGTACACTGACACTAAGGGACGGTACTTCTAAAATGTCACAGATGGGAGCGCCCCCGAAGCATTTGAAATAATTAACACTGCATGCCAATGCATGAACACACGAGCATAAATTAATTCCGAGAGGTGTCGGGGACAGAGCCTGGAGCTGACACAGATCTAATATAGAGCCGCCTTGTCGGTGCGTGTATGTCTATGGCATAGATAACTCTCGTTAGTAAAGAAAACCTCTATTTATATTTGTGACGAAGGGCGGGTGGGCGGTCTGTACAGAGTGTGCGAGCGGGTGGAGGTCAGGGTTCACGGAGTGGAGGCCGTCAGCAGATTAGAGCGCACCCATCCCAGTGACCTCAGACGTCAGCCTGCAAGACACAGAGGCACAGGGGAGACAGGTCACAGTGTTCTGGTAAAACGGGAGCAGAAGCGAGGCGGGGCCTCCCCGTCTCAGCGTCGCCTCCCTCTTGGCTGTGAGATGTGCGGCCGAGAGCTGGAGACCACAGCGGGGCGGAGGGAGGAGGCCCCACCAGGGACCGGGTCCCTGTCACCGCATCAGGGGCCTGACAATAACCACCTGGGCACGCAGAGGCCCACGACCGATTCTGCAGCAGCTGCTTCGGGAGGGGCCGGCCTTGCGTGGCCCATGGGGTGGAGTGGAGGCGCCTCCCCGGGGCCTGACTCGATATTCTGAGTTAAAGAGGAGGGTCTGGCCCCAGGTGTGGTCACACTGCGTTCTCCAACACGTCCCTGGCCGGGGAAGTTGCAGGGCGTCACCGGGCCCTGGACGTAACCTCTGACCCTCACTCAGTTCCCAGGTCTGCAGCTCTGCAGGGCTCAGGGTGGTGGGGGCGGCGTCTTTACAACCACGGGGCACGTGAGGGCAGGGTGGCCCAGTAACGCGTTCCCTGATACTACTACGCGACCCAGTTACCCAAGGGTGAGGCTGACCGCAGGCCCGGGCCGAGGTGCCACAGCTCTCCGGGAACCAGACGGCTGTAACCATGTCCCCACCCCAGACTCTCCAGGGTGAAAGGTCAGGGGTGAATGTGCAGAGGGGGTGCGGGGCCCCCAGTCTGCGTGGAGACTGAGTCCATCACACCCCACCCCCACACCTAGCCCGGAGCAAAGCCACCGGAGAGGATGGGCCCGGTCTGGCTCCCGCCATGGCTAGCCAGTCCCTCTGAGCGTCTTGCTCAACCAGTGCATGAAGGACGGGGCCCTGGGGGCACGCACCTGGCGTTGATGAGGTACTGGGCGAGGCTGATGTTGGCTGGGGTCCCCGTGATGGTGATCTGGCGCTCCGATGACCCTTCTGTGGCATTGGCGATTTTGATCTGAGCTCCAGACATCTGTCGAATTTCATTGATTTTGGTCCCTTGGCGTCCAATTATGCAGCCTATTAGCTAGAAGGAAGGACGGAGGACTTCCTCAGAGAGGGGCTCCCCACCCCAAGCGGAGAGCCTGGGGAGGCCCGGGAGGGGCACAGAGCAGCCCTGGTGTGCACCCCACCCCAAGCTCTGCCCTCCCAGGAGCTTTCCTGCGGGGGGTGAGGCTGCAGACGCCCGGGCTCTGCAATGAGTCTTGACCAGACCCAAAGGGGAAGGCACCGGCCGCGTCACCTCGCCTGGGCTCCCTTGGGGACCTGGGAGACGGGAGCAGGTGGGTGCATCCCCAGGAAGGAGGAGTGTTCGTGTGAAGCCAGAGTTTATTAAAGTTCTCTGCCGCCCAAAACCCTGTCTTCTGACAAACTTGGGTGAAATTCTGAGGACATGTCAGACGTTCCCTTCCCTTCCCACCGTGTGACCCCCGGCCGCTCTGGGCCATCGTGCGGAGTGGGCAGCCATCAAGAACCAAGCAGCCAGAAGGACAGGAGCCAGGGCTCCCGGGGGCAGGGGCACGGCCCGCCGAGCTGTGTGCGGACAGCCGGGCGCGGGGGGCAGCTCCAGCAGGCACGGAGCAGGCCGGGTTGCGGGGAAGCTGCTCCCAGCACCTGTGCCCACCCTCAGTCCACGCGGCCCCGTGTTACAGGCGGCGCTGGGGCCGTGCGGGGCGGCGGCAGGAAGGAAGCTCGTTTACAGCCGCCCTGGACCCACGCGGGACGGCCCGGCTTTCGGGCGACCTCCACCTCTGGGCTACCCCAGCTGCCTCACCAGCCCTCTCCAGGTGTCAGCTTCCTCCACCTCCCACCAGCATCTCCTGGGCCCGCCCACCTCCCAGGCCCGCCCCACCTCTTAAGAAGCTCTGCCCCACCTCCTAGACCCCGCCAAACCTCCTAGGCCCCGCCCCCACCCCATCTCCCCAGGCCCCGCCCCACCTAGGCCCTGCCTCCCAGCCCCCATCACCCATGCTCTGAGCCCCCACCTCATCCCCCCAGGCCCCGCCTTCCCCATCTCCTAGGCCCCGCCCCCACTCCTAGGGCCCCGCCCTCACCCCATCTACCCAGGACCCCGCCCTCACCCCATCACCTAGGACCCCGCCCTCCATCACCTAGGCCCCGCCCTATCCCCAGGTCCCGCCCTACCTCCCAGGCCCCGCCCTCACCCCGTCTCCTAGGCCCCGCCCCATCCCCAGGGCCCGCCCCCACCCCATCTCCTAGGCTCCGCCCCCACCTCATCCCCCAGGCCCCGCCCTCCTCCATCTCCTAGGCCCCGCCCTATCCCCAGGTCCCGCCCTACCTCCCAGGCCCCACCCTCACCCCATCTCCGAGGCCCCGCCCTCACCCGTCTCCTAGGCCCCGCCCTCACCCCATCTCCTAGGCCCCGCCCTCCATCTCCTAGGTCCCGCCCCACCCCCAGGGCCCCGCCCCCACCCCATCTCCCAGGCCCCGCCCACCACTCCTAGGCCCCGCCCTCCTCCATCTCCTAGGCTCTGCCCCATCCCCAGGGCCCGCCCTCACCCCAGCTCCTAGGCCCCGCCCCATCTCCGAGGCCCGCCCCCGACCCCCCAATCCTTGGGCCTGACCCCGAGGTCAGTGAGGGAGGGAGACTGCTATGGTCACTGCCTTCATCCTTGACTTGTCCTCCAGCCGGAGAACCCTGGACGGCTGCCCTCCCACCTCCAGGCACGGCAGGGGCACGTGGGGCCGGCTGAGCCCCCCGAGGATGCCAGCCCTGCGGAGGATCCTCACACTTCCTTGGCCACTGGCAGCCCAATGTCCCTTCCAGAACCTTCCCCTTCAGTGCAAGTAGCGTTGGCTGAGTGGTCACCGGCCGAGAGCCTCCAGCAGAAGCGGTTCGTGTCTCCTCCGGGAAACCTGTCTGAGGAAGGCTGGCGGGTGTCCACGCTCTCCCTCTCTGACCCGGCGGGCGCAGAGGTCATGCCCCCCCCAGCCCTGCCCCGCAGCCATGGGCATGGAGGCGCCTGCACCTGGCCTCACCGGTCTGCTGCCCGCAGGGGGACCCGCGCTCGCCCAGCTCTCCCCTCTCACCCCGCGGGCGTCCACGGGGAGCCCGAGGAAAGTCACAGAGACACTTTCTAGAGCCGTGGCCCCTCTTGGCCGGATTCACAGCTGCACCCCAGAGGATGTGGGGACACACCTATCCCGCTCTTGTCCTGGAGCCGCCTGTGGGAGCCCTGAGATCTCTGGGTGGTTCTGGGGTTGGGGCCAGGGCCGGGGCCAAGTGTGGGGCGGCCGCAGGCACAGGGACTGTGACATCAGCCACAGAACCCACGGCCAGGGGAGCCGAGGAATGCCACCCGAGGCTGCCCACACGCGCTGCCGGCCCTGACCCGGCCTGGGTCCTGTCGCCACGTCCGCAGGGGGCTGTGTTGCGGAACTTACGCGTGGTTTGGGTTCCCACATGCGCCCTGTCGTCCAGAAGGCCCTGCACTGGCGACACAGGTGTGGACAAGACTTCCCTTAGCACAGCTTTGACCGGGGGCACAGACGGGTGTCGTGGCAGATGCGCGTCTGATGCACACACGCCTCCCCTGGGGCCGGGTGAGTACGAGAAAGCCCCCTGCCGTGCTGTCACCAAGTCCTCCCCCCAAGAAGCACCAGCTCGGAGCCCGGGGATCCTGAGGGCAGCCTCCTGAGGGGCGCACGGCCCCGGGGGCGGCCTGGCAGGGCGGTCGGCGTGCAAGGTGGCACCGTGTGCCCCAGGGGCCGCATGGAGCAGGCCCGCTGCTCACTCTCCAGACGAGCCTCATCTTCTTCCTCGTGTTTTCCGGGCTCATCCCACGTGCGGGAGGCAGGCCCGGCGTCAGGGAAGCAGTTTTGGTCAGAGGAGCCCGGGCAGGGCGTGGCCCCGCCTTTCCCACGGGCGAGGTGTGCCCGCCAAGATCGTGACGTGGGGGACGGTGTCGGGAGCTCCCAAGAGCAGAACCATCTCCCGTAGAGACGCAGGAGCACATCCCCTGCAGCTGGCACCAGGGGCCCCATGCCTGCCCCCCCCTCCTGCTCATCTGTGCGCACAGGACGGCCACCGCCCCGCAGCCACAGGCCTGTGCCTGTCTCAGGAAGAGGCTGGGGCGGGACGTCCCGGCCTCCCGGCGAGCAGCTGCCCCGCCCCCGGACACGGCCCCTGCCCGCCCCGCTGTCTTGGGCTCTGGCGGAGTCCGTGCGCTCTGGGTACGGGGCGGGTGGGGCTGAGCCTGGGCAGGGTGGCCCGTGAGGCCGCGAGCTGGGTGGGCCCTGGGCAGGATCAGGCGCGGGCTCCGGGCACGGGGCGTCCCGCAAGCACGTGACCCCACCTGCTCTTCAGGGGCCGGCGGGGGGCGGGGGGCAGCCTTCCCAGCCAGCTCGGCACCTGCCTGCTGATGAACCCTGAGGTCCCCTGGCTCCTCTCCTGCCGAGTGTCCCAGGACTGTGACATCACGTGCCTCTTAGGGCCACTGTACCCGACTGTGGGCAGCGAGGGGAGGGGGCCCAGGTGGGCCCAGGGGCTGGGGGTCAGGGCTGAGGGGTTGGGGCCTGGGGGTAAGGACTGGGGTTTGGGGGCTGGCAAGTTAAGAGGTGAGGGGTGAGGGGTCAGGGCTGGTGGGTCCAGGGTGAGGGGTGACAGGTGAGGGATTGGGGCTGGGGGTCAGGGCTGGGGATTAGGGCTGGCAGGTCAGGGGTGAGGGGGCAGGTAGGGGGTCAGGGTGAGGGGTTGGGGTATGGGGTTAGGGGTGATGGGTCTGGGCTGGGGCATCAGGGGTGAGGGGTTAGGGGTGAGGGGTCAGGGCTGGGGGTTAGGGCTCGGGTCAGGGGTGAGGGGTAAGGGCTGGAGGTCAGGGGTGAGGGGTTGGGGCTGGGGGATCATGGTGAGGGGTTGGGCATGGGGCTTTGGCACGGGGGGTCAGGGGTGGTGGGTCAGGGCTGGGGGATGGGGGCTGGGGGGTCGGGTGAGGGGTGAGGGGTTGGTGTTGGGGGACTGGGGCTGGCAGGTCAGGGGTGAGGGGTTGGGGTTGGGGGGTTAGGGTGAGGGGCCAGGGCTGGGGGATCAGGGGTGAGGGGTCAGGGCTGGGGGGTCAGGGCTGGGGGTCAAGGTGAGGGGTCGGGGCTGGGGGGTCAGGGGTGAGGGGCCAGGGCTGGGGGTCAGGGGTCGGGGCTGGGGGTCGGGGCTGGGGCATCAGGGTGTGGGGTCAGGGCTGGGGGGTTGGGGCTGGGGGTCAGGGGTTAGGGCTGGGGGTCGGGGCTGGGGGGTCAGGGTGAGGGGTCAGGGCTGGGGGGTCGGGGCTGGGGGTCAGGGGTCAGGGCTGGGGGTCGGGGCTGGGGGGTCAGGGTGAGGGGTCAGGGCTGGGGGGTTGGGGCTGGTGGGTCAGGGCTCGGGGGTCAGGGGGAGGGGTCAGGGCTGGGGGGTCGGGGCCGGGGGGTCGGGGCTGGGGGTCAGGGTGAGGCCGGGGAGGGTGAAGGCTCGGGCATACTCACATCATTGGGAATGGTGAGCTCGTGAGTGCTGGCCGGGGGGCTGGCGTCCAGACCTGGGTACAGCAAGGGGACAAGGTCAGGCGGCAGCCGGCTGTGCACACGGCACCCGGTGCCCACCCACGTGGCCCACGCGAGGGGCAACACGCCCTGTGCGCTCTCGGTGTCAGGCCACGCGAGGTCTGGCGTCCCCGCTCCCCTCACAGCCGGGACACAGAACCCGGCAGATGTTCTGCGCTTTCCCTTTGGGCGCGTGGGGATCCCGCTCCTGAGCAGCCAGGCACGGCTCGGGGCGCCCTCCAGGCCCTGGGGGCCCTGCGCAGCGCGGGTGTGCGGCCTGGGCTTCCTGGCAGAGCCCCGCGCCCTCCGCCCAGGCAGAGCCAAGGGCCCCGCACCACGCACTCCACGGCCCGGCCCCACGGCGCTGTCCTGCAGGGAGGCCACGCGCTCCCGCTCGGTGCGGACACAGGCCTCCCCGGCCGCCAGGCCCCCGGCTCCCAGGTCTACGGTGTCCCCTCTGAGCACAGACCGCCTCTTGCAGGGCGAGATCTACCAACGGGGGCGACAGATCCGGGCACCCTCACCCTCGCCCTCGCGACTCCTCGTCCACCCACAGTGGACACGCCGTCCTCACTGCAGGCCCCACAGCCCCGACCCTGCAGCCCCCACCCACGGGACCACTGTCGCAGTCTGGCTCGTACCGTCAGAATGTTCCGGAGCCCGAGCCCCCTCCTGTCCCCCCTCCTGGTTCCCGCCTCTGCCTTGGCCCTCGGCCCACTGTGCCCAGGCCCAGAGGCCCGGGGAGACGCAGTCGGACGCCCACCCTCCTTCCCCTCTCCCTGCGTCTTCCTCCTGTACTTGTGTCCCCAGCAGCAGACATGCCGCAGTCCTCAGCCTCTGCCGGGAGCGTCCCCACCGGGCCCCGCCGTGCTGGGGGCGCCAGGGGCAAGTGCTGGGCGAACCCCTCCATCCTGAGCTGCCGTTTCCTTTCGCACAACCACACCCGGGGTTTCTGTCCTTTATCTTGTTCCCATTGAGACGTTTTCGGTGCAGCTGCCTGGTTGTCCGACCGTCCATACGCATTCCGCAGAGAGTGACCTCGGAGGAGAGGTCCTCGGTCCTGCGTGGGTCCCGTCAGGACCTCGGCAGCTGCCTCGGGAGGGTGGAGGCCGAGCGCCGTGTCCGCTCACCTCGGTGTACTCCGACCCACGGAGGAAAGTACGAGGCTTCTTTTCAAGAGGGAACTGAGAGCGACGTGCTGGGTCGGGGGCGCAGCTGCTTCCCGCTGGCGCCCCCGCACCTGACGACCACGTCCCTGGCGGGGAGTCCCCCTCACCAGCCGCGGATGCCACACACATCGGGCGGGACTCCAGCCTCGCCCCGCGAGCCCCACCTGCTTCGGGAGCATCAGTGACGCTGTCCCGGGAACCACGCATCCTACTCCACCTGCGGCCACTGCGGGACACGTGTGCGTGTGTGTGCCCCGTGCTCTCCCTGTGGGTCCCCTGGGGCGGGAAGTCATCCTTAAAGAGGCCATGTGCACACGTGCCGCGTCCTTGAGGCCCACGGAGGTGCTGCGGGAGCCGTGGCAGGGTCGGTGGGCGGCTGGCGGGGCGGGGGCTGCGTCCCGGGCAAGCCAGGCCCTTGGTCCCACCAGCCCCGGGTAATCGTAGGAAATCACCGATGAGGTGCAGAGGGCTGACGGGCACACGTGTTGTCACCACCACCGGCTGTGGCCGTCATGAGGCTTGACACCCATTTCCATAATCAGAACGTCTTGTCTTTTCATTCTGTACGCTCTGCATTCGCTTGATCAAAGGCTGCGCTGAAATGGGGCCCTTCGGGGGCGCACGGAGCATCGGAGCGGGAGCCCGGGGCGCAGAGCAAGGCCCTGACGGGTGGAAGCACTGCCCGCCGCCCTCCCCTGCAGCCGGACACCTGCCCCTGCCCCTGCCCCTGCCCTGGCCGACCGGGGTGGAACCCGCTCCGCCCCTCCACGAGCTCTCAAGTGGCGTCACTCCCCAAACACGCGGCGTCCCGGGCTCTGCAGACCCGCGCCTGCCCTGCCCCAGCCCCGGGGTTGACTGGGACCAGCCGGTGGGGACCAACCCGGCCCGGCGCCCTGCCCCGAGCGTGTGCCGCCGAAGCACACGGCACCTCCTGTACCGCGGCCCCACGTGCGTGCTGCCCACAGCAGACGCTGGCCCACCCCACGGGGCCTTCGGGGCTGCGACCTGCACCCCACGGCGCCCGGAGCAGACCCGCTCGCCGACGCAGAGGCTGCGAGGTGTGCGTGCGGACGTGGCGCCGGCGCTCGGGCTCCGTCCTGACAGCACCGCCGCCCCCGCCACCCCTCACTGAGGCGCTCACGTCCCCGCGCACACGCAGTCGGGCCTCCGCACCCCTCCTCCCGCCCGGTCGGTGACCCGGAGCCCGAGCAGGGGCAGCAGGGGCGGCTGCCCGGCCTCCTGGGCCTGCGCTCTCTCGCTCAGTGAGCTTCGTTTTACCTGACGACTGGCCCATCAGATTTTGAGCTTCTTCGGAGGAGTGTAAAGGCAGCTTTTCTCCTGGAGAGCAAAGAAGAGACAGATTTAATGTTTTGCCCTCAAGGAGATAAGCAAGGTCACTTCAACTAGGGAAGCTCAAAATCTGACTGGCGCATGCACGGCCGACCCATGCGTCCAGCGAGCGGTCACCTGCACGGCTGCCGAGGCGATGCCCTGCCGTCGCCAGGGAGACACCGCCGCCCTAAGGCCCTCCCCCACCCCGGGGCCACGTGGGGTGCCGGTGGCCACCACGCCCTGGGCGGGGGCTGGCGCAGCTCAGTTCTCCCCGGGGCAGGGCCGGCGGCCATCCCGGGCAGGTGTCGCTCCTGGGCCGTGCACGGCCTCCCGCACAAAGGCGTCCCCGTCCGCTTGTCGGAGCTCGGCTCCCGGGGACAACAGGCTTCAGGGCTGTGGCCAAGTGGATGCGCTCAGCCGGGCGCCCCGGGATGCCCGTGGGCAGCGGAGGTCCCTGGGCCACAAGGCCAGCGGGAGGCAACCAGCCCCCCGCGGGAGACACACGCACGCAGAGCTCCCGCCCGGCCCTCTGCGGCGTGCACACCGCCGCGTGTCTACACTGCGTCCTTGGCGTCCACAGCTAGAACTGTACCTGCACCGCTCGCCGCCCCGAATAATGACAGTTCAGAAAGAGTCCCCAGGTGAGAAGAGAGGAGGTCAGAAAGGGCAGCTGGGTACGTACCGGGGAAAGCGGGGTTGGTCTGTCCGAGGGGAGGAAAGGGGGTTTGCTGCATGGCCAGCTGGTGGAGCTTGGTCAACTGCTGGGGTAGGAGGGACACGAGAGCTAAGAAGATTATTGTCATCGAGCACAAGTCACACCAAATTAAAACGGCAGTAACAGAACGTTGTACAAATAGATAGAGGGGGGCCATGCGGACACATGGCAGACGCAGCGGACGCAAGGACTTGGCCTGGGACACCAATGGGCCGCTGGGCGGGCGCGCACCCAGGTCCTTTCCTCTGCTCGGCTCGCTGGCGGCTTGCACACACCTGGCGGCCGTGACCCCCAGGCCGCACGCGGGCCCCCGGGCTCCCTGGGGAGGCTCTGAGAGCCCCCGAGCAGGGCCCGCCGGCCTGAGGGGCTGGGAGGTCACGGTCCCCGCAGAGCACTCGCGCCGGTGACCCGGCCCCGCCCCAGCCCTGGACCCCGCGCGGCCAGCAGCGCCTCCAAGAGGCAGCCAGGGCTGCTCGAGTCGGCTCACCTGCGTCCTCCGTGCCCACTGGGTCACTCTGTCCCCTTGACCCCCACCCCCGGAGCTCTCTTCCGTTGCTATTTGGGCCTCACTTCTTTTCCTTTTCTTAACCAGGCTCCCCGTCCAGTGTGGACCTCCCTGAGATCACGACCTGAGCGGAGGTGGGGAGTCTTGCGCTCCATCGCCTGAGCCACCCAGGCGCTCACCCCGGCCTCTTTTCTTAAGGAGAAACCCGAAAGAACAGAAAGTAAAAGTAAGTGGCCCTATTTTGGGAACCGAGGGCTACGAGATGGACGCTCAGCGGGGAGTCCTCAGGCCTAGCTCACGGCCGGGCCTGCACCGCACACCCTGGGACGCGCGTAGCTGCTGACCCCCTCCCGATGGCCCACCCACCCTGAGCCCTGGACTCCCGCCCGGAGGGGGGGCACACTCAGAGGGGAGCTGGCGTCCCCACTGCGGCACGAGTGTGTCAGGGAGGCGGTGACCGGGCCCAAGACACTCGGGGGCCTTCTCAGACGCGCCTCGGAGCAGCAGGGCAGCGGGAGGCCGTGGGCCATCAGCAACGCAGCCCCACACAAACACAGACACGGACACGCCGCCCGCCGGCCTGCCCTGTGGGTGCAGCTGTGGCAAATACCCTAAGGTACCCGGGGCACGGGGGACGAGGAGTGGGTGGCACTGTCTGTGGCTGAGGTGCTGCCAGGGGCCCGAGCGCACAGACTGGTCCCCTGACCCTGTGCCCAGCTGGATGGGACCAGGAGCCCCAGGGGCCGCATGCGTAGCAGGCACAGGTCAGGACACCCAGCAGGCTGCGCTCTGAACCCACCCGCGGCGGGGCTGGAAGCAAGGCTAAGGTTACAAGGTTCCCAGGATGGAGGAGGAAGCCTGCTTCCGGAGACGGCCAGGGGGGCTCAGGGCTGAGGGCGGGGGGACCATCACGGTGCTCACACGGGGGGGGCGGGGGGCGGCCTGCTGCGTGGCCACCCCACGGGCTCCAGCCCTTTGCCCAGGGCACTTGCACGGCCCCGGCAGCCCTGGCCCCGCTGCTCTGTGCTCCTCCCGAGGGCGGGTCCTCTCCCGTCCTTCCCGAGGCCCAGGCGTACAGCTGCGTGTCGCTCAGGACAGCAGGGAGAGCCGGGCCCTGGCGGCGGACCTGGCCTGGGGCAGCGCCAGCACCAACCGGCCTCGTGGAGATGCGCTCGTCTGGTGCCACAGGCCCCCGTCCTGATCTGAGGGGCCACGAAGTGTTGTCCACCTCGGCTGGGGACAACCACCATCATGAGCAGCCTGCGGCTTCCCCACGCACCTGTCCACAGCTCCGCGACCTCGGGTGCTCCCTTGGTCTGTCCATCGCCTCCCTGGCAGGTAGGGGGATGGGGTGCATGCGGGGGGCCTGCTCCAGAGCCCACGGCCACACGTGTCACAGGCACACACGAGAAACGCTCCCCGCGGCCGTGCACTTGTGCTGGAGTCGCCGCCCGCAGGCCCTACGCCTGCCTTCCTACTGCCACGCACTGGCTGCTGCTTACGACGAAACGGCCACGCTCCCTCCACCCAGGCACCGTGGAGGCAGGGACGTCTTGGGGAGACTGGATGGGCACACGCTGGTGCCTGGATTGACATCGGTCCGGGGGGCGGGTGGCCAGAGGGGAAGCCTGGTGATGGATGTCAGCTGGCCTCCCTCTGGTCTTGGCTCGTCCCTAATTTGTCCGGCGCTTCTCCTCCTTGGGATGCAATCTCTACGTGTCTTAAGGGAGGCGCATGAAAAGTGCTAAGAGGACTCCTGCTTTTTGAGCTATTTCTGCCCTTAAACCATCAGACGTCGGGCACTCACATGCGCCTGCACACGGCGGGGAGGGGCCGCAGGGGAGGGTGTCGTGAGACGGGCGGCTCCCTGCCCCTCAGCTCTTCCACTGGATGTTGGGTTGGGGCAGACAGACAGACGCTAAATGCAGACAAGGGCTACGGTCGCAGGTGCACAAGTGTGGAGGTACCACGCGGCGGGCGCACCACGCACGGGCCAGCGTGAGGAACGGGCCACCGTGCGACGTAGGCTGTGCTCATGTCTCCCCTCCCGTGAGACGCTTGTGTCTTCTTCGCCCATTTCTCTCCTGGGTTCACTTCCGCTCACTCACAAAGACCCCTTTTATATATATGTATATTTTTTTTCCCTTTTATATTTTGGATGCTAATCCTCTTTCAGTTGTCTGTGCTGAAAAGATCTTGTCCTCACTCTCCTTTGGTGTCTTTAGAGAAAAGATGATTTTTAGACTTTAATGGAGTCCAGTTCATTACTATTTTCTTGGTGGTTTGTGCTCACTGTCTTGCTTACGAAACACTTCCTGGACCTGAGAACAGAGGGATCTTCTCTATTTTCCTCGAAAGGTGCTGTTTTCCTGTCTTGTGTGACAAGTGTTCGGGTCTTTGTTCCCACGTGGATGACCATTTACAGATATTTCATGTTCCTATCCATGAAATTGGTATGTTCCCCTCCCCTTTTTTTCATCTTTTGGTCTTCTTCAACTTTTTTTTTTTTTAAAAAGGTTTATTTATTTAAGACAGAGCGAGCGAGCACGTGTGGAGGAGGAGGAGCGGGGAGAGAGTCTCAGCCCTCTGCGGGGCTCAATCTCACGACCCTGAGGTCATGACCTGAGTCGCTCACCTGACTGAGCCACCCAGGTGTCCCGCATCTTCTTTAACTTTCAATAAAAACAAGTTGTTTTTTTTTTTTTTAAAAAGGTCATCTTTTAATTATTGATGTCAATAATTAAATTAACTGCTTTGCAGTAAGAGAGTGCAGCCTGTGGGATTCCAGTTTGGGACACGTGGGTTTTCTCAATGGCGTGATGTGTGATCCAGTTGTGTAGACGCCTCCGGTATGGACTTCAGCGTCGTGTAGACATGTGTTCCATCCACACCAGTCACAGCAGAGCTCGGTGCAGGCTCCCTACGTCTGTCAAATTCCCTTCACGGTTTGCTACCTTTTCTCTGCATGTACTTGCAGATAGGCTCCAGGTGCACACAAGCGTTGAATTTGTATCTTCTGGGGGAACTGAGCCTTTATCGAGACGTAAGCGATGAAACATAGACTTGGCTTTATTATTTTTTTTTAATTTTTTTTTTTAGACTTGGCTTTAAAGTCCTGTTGCTCCCCCCCCCAACCCCCCGTTAATGTTGATAGGTAAGACTTCTTTTCTTTTCTCTCTCTCTCTCTTTTTTTTTTTTTTTTTTGTTGATTCAACATGGAGATGAGAAGAATTTGCCAAGTTACAGGGGTTTCTTTCAGTTAGTATTTTTCCATGAGAGCTTTTTCTATCCTTTCAATATTTCTGGGTCCTTATTCTTTAGGTGTGTCTCTTGGGATAAAAAAAATGCTAGAGTTTTCCCCCCGTTTTGCTATTTGTCTAAAAACCTAATTTTTTTTTTTTTTGGCTGTTTTTTCTTTTTTAGTCAGACAGCCCTTTTTTAACTGGAACACTGGTTTTACTTTGATCACAAATACATGCATAAGGGACTAATTTCTGCCACTTTATTTTGTTTTGCACCTGTGACTGTCCTGACTGGACAGGCATGTAACAGGAGGAGGGACCTGGACAGACCAGTTTCCCCTGCCCCTGGCCCCTCTGCACCTGGTGGCAGTCACGTAAGTAAGCTGTTACCTGTCAGTGGTCACTCTGGCATCTTAACGCGCACATTCAAGGTCTAAACTCCATATCCGCCTCTTCTGGGACGGCACCCTGGCCTCCAGAAAGCTTGGACCCCCTTGGCTCACTGAAGCATACATCTCCTGTTTTATATATATATATATTCATTCATTCATTCGTTCATTGAGGGGGGGGGGCAGAGACACAGGCAGAGGGAGAAGCAGGCTCCATGCTGGGAGCCTGACACGGGATTTGATCCGGGGACTCCAGGATCATACCCTGGGCCAAAGGCAGGTGCCAAACCGCTGAGCCACCCAGGGATCCCCTACATCTCCTGTTTTTGTCCATTTGTTGTTATGTTAATCCCACAGGTCAGACGGCCTTGATTTTACAATTTTTGCTTTCCTTTACCGACATGTTCACATTTTAGTGTCGTCACAACCATTGGTAGTTCCTGGCCTATTCCTGCGTTAATGAAACAAGCTCCTCGTCCCTGTCTCCAGGCTTCCCTCCACAATCACTGTCCTCCTGAAGGGCTGGGGGCACCCATACAGACCCGGTGGCCACCGCTGTCTGCCTACAAATCCTAGGATGTGGGTCCTTGGAAGATCTTCTTAGAACAGAAGCCTGGGTTGACCATTACTTTCTGTGTCGTGACACCACCTTCTGGCTCCCGGGGCGGCTGGTGCGATGTCCCCTCGCTTTCTCTCTTGCTCCTCTGTTACCTTCCTTTTCTGACAACTTGAGAGGTTTACTTTTGGTCCTGATGTCGTGTGGTTTTACTTTGATAAACAGAAAGTGGGTTTCTTTGTATTTATCTTGTTTGGGGTTTGTTTGGATTCCTGAATGTGAGGATTGGCTTCTTTTATTGATTCTGAGAAATTCTCAGTGCTTATCTTCTAGAATCTTCCGTCACTCTGTGTGATGATCTCTTGGGGGCTCCGATGGGATGAAAACATAGATTTTGCCTCTGAGGAGGGGCGGGCTGGGGCGAGGAAGCCAGGCACCCAGAGGCTCAGCAGGAGAGGGGGCTGTGTTCACCGGCGGTAGGGGCAGGGAGACGTGAGCTGGCGAGCCTCCTGCTTTCCCACCCCGGAGGTCAGGGCCGGGTGTGTGGGCGCCTCCCTACCACTCCGAGCCGCAGGTCCTGGAGGGAAGAGCAGGGCAGAGGTGTGGCCCAGCAGCCGGTGGGCTCAGCGTGCTGGCTCCTCTCCCTGGGGTTCCCACCGCAAGGTGCGGGAGCCTCTGCGCCCTCCCCATGGGTTCTGGAGGAGGCGAGTGGCAGCCCTTGGGGAGTTGGTTCCACAGCCACAGCGAAATGCGAGCGGACAGCTAGGAAACACTGCCCACGGAGGACCTAATAACATGCATCTTCCCACCGATGTCTCTCACTTGTGTTGTGACTCCCATGTTGCCGTCTCCACTGCTTACTCTGAGGAACACGCTGCCTGGACTCCTGGACGCTGGGCACCACCGGGGCTCTTCAGTTCTGGCGGTGAGCTTTTGAAGCCACCATTCCCTTGCGTGTGAAACTGGGGGGCTGTCCCGACCGCCACCCCGCAGTCAGTGCCAGGCCCAGGCGGGAGGCAGAGGTCGCAAACCCTTAGTTGTCACCTCCCATGTGAGGCTGGGTTTCGGCTTGCTTTTGGGGCCCCTTGGGTGAGGGGGGCTTACGGGAGGGACTCGGATACCCTGACGAGTGGCAGAGAAGCATCACACGTGGGGGGCGGCTTGAGGCTGACTCTTCCCTCCCTCCCATGTGACCGCATGTCTGTTCCTGGGGTCCCACATCCGAGTCCCTGCTGCCTCCTCTACCACATCTGAACTCAGCGGACCAGGCGGTCAGGCCATGGCTGAGGCCGTCCCCCCCACACCCGGCGTCCCGGTGCTTCTCCAGGGCATGTCCGGGAGGACTGAGGCAAAACGAGTGAGTGGCAGGCGAGACCCTGCAGGGACACTGGCCAGGCCGCAGGGAGGGTGACCCAGAGTGCGCTCTTCAGCACCAGGCAAGGACGAAACACGTACAGGTTCGTTCTAGGTGAAGGAGCACTTGGCTCTACGAAAGCGGTTTTCCCACAGGCTGCCTGAGGGTCCTGGTGGCGTGTCAGCCACCGTGGCTCAAGTATTTATTACAAAATAAGGTAGCGCTTCCTACCAGCATGACACCTGGGTTCTAGGAAACCAAGCCTTTGCAATCCCTACTGACCGCTAAGCTCAGCTAAACGCTGCCTTCCTGGCCATCATCATGGATGTCACCAGACAGTTGTTCTGGATGGAGCATCCCGTCTTCAACGCCGCGAGCCTGCAGGCTGCCCACGTTCTCCGAGCTCCCACCACAGAGTCCCAGCAACTGCGCAGCCGCGGGGGCCGGTCTACACCGCACAGAGGGCTGTTCCATGAGAATAGCCCAGTGTCTTGGGTCTCTACCAAACGTAAGAAGGCAATTATGCAACAGTTAGAAGTTTGATCGGTCTGAGAAAAAAGCCTGCGGAACTACCCACTTTTAAGAGATTCTGAGAAAATCATGCGGGAAGACACAACCACCAACTAACATAAAAATCAATCAGCCAGGCTGAAGTTCCTCAGCCTCACGCAGGTGTGCACACCCACAAACCTGGGACTTCAGGCCAGAAATGCTCCTCTGTTGGCTCAGGGGCTGCAGGAAACCTCAGGCCCCACCTAAGAGCCGTGCCCTGGGGTCAACCGCCCTTTACTAGGGGCCTGACCACTGTGTCTCCTGAGCTTTAAAAAAGCCAACAGGCCAGGTTTTCCAATCTGCCCTTGCACACGTACCTGCACTTCCAGGGGGCACAAGAGCACCCGGCCCCACGTTAAGTGAAGACTGTGCTGTCACCCGAGTTGCATCCCGGCCTCCCATCACCCCCACTCGGGGACGTCTGTGGGATGGGAGTGAACGGGTGGACAGAACTGGCACCGCTCACAAGCCACCGAGGGCAGGAGATCTCCCCGCGATGGTACTGAACCGACGGCCCGCGCCCCCCACATTCTCACTCGGCCTGGCCGAGTTTCCGGAAGCCCTCGCCTGCTCCGCCCGGACGGCTCACTGCCACGTCTGCGCCAGCCCACCTCAAACTCACAGGGGTTTGCAGACGATGCCAACGCCCGCCCGCCTGGCGCCACCTCCCCCGCACGAGTCTCAGGTCACACGCAGGAAGCGCTTTCTCGAGGGAGACTGTGAAGTCTGGCAACGTTCAGAATGGTTTAGAGAAGGAAGGGCTTCCCCACGCGCCAGGCTCGCCGCACCTGCTGAAAGCAACGCCAAGGCGGATCCCCAGTTCCTCCCGGCCTTGCCCCAGTCCCCTCCTCCCTCCCCGGACCCGCCCTTTGCAACCGGCTCACGCAGGCGTCCTGGCCCCGGCCCCCCGCACGCGTCTAGATCCCTGTGGAGAGACGACCGTGGATCATGGCTGCTGCCCTGTACCTGCTGCACACTGTCTCCCCGCCCCCTGTACCCCACGGTGCATTTCCGGGTGTCCCCATCCTCAACCCTGACGCCACACAGACTGTGACACACTCAGGGCGGCTGAGCAGGCCCCGATGGTGGAGCATGCGGCTTCAGCCCTCGGACGAAAGCCAAGGCCCTTCTGTTGGCTTTGTCTTCGGGGGTGGGGGGTGCGGGGTGCTGTTGCACCTTGGGCTCCCCAGGGGGAAATTCTAGCTTTACCAGACGTTCAAACGTCCCCTCCCGCATCTCTTAGAGCACCTGGCTGACAGCGTGTCATCTAACTTCTCAGGTGGCTGTAGGGCACCCCCGTCCCTGGCTGCTAGGGCGGGTGCCACGGGCAGAGCAGCCTTGCGGCCACCGCCTGAGGCCCTGTGTGCGGAGGAAAGCCCCAGAGTGCAGCAACGATCAAATCAATTTGACATCAGGCCAAGTCCTCCAAACGAGTAGAATTAGTGCTAAGAGGTTAAAGGTTACTCAAGGTCATATGGATACGACACAGGTCAGGAACATTGAGAGAACGGTATTAATATTATTGCGTAATATTAATATTAGTAGCAAGTAACAGCAGCATGCAGGTGGGTAACGGTAATGAGAAGAGAAGGCGAGGGAGGCAGAGTGGAGACTCACATCTGGGTGGGGGATGGCGTACTGTCCCTGGATCGTGTAGGCCTAGGAAGAGAGACACACGGTCAGGTCGCGAAGCCGCCAGCCCCGCGTGCGCCCACCGGAGGCCCTCCCCCGGGGACGGGGCTTCCCGTGAGCAGGCCCAAGGCCCCGAGGTCAGGGCATCTCCTCGCATAACGCATCCCTGCCTGCCCCCCAGTAGCTCAGGACAAAATCGGAACCCCCAGGGCACTGGGAGGTGTAGACTGGGGGGTGTCCTGGCGCCAGGCCTCAGCGGCACCCACGGGCGGGCAGGCGGCTGGAGCTACAGCCAGGCGGGGGCCGGGAGCCGCCCACCCCCAGCCCCGAGAGCTCAGAGCGCAGGAGTGGGCAGCGCCAGGCGGCTCCCTACTCCCCGAGGTTCTTAAAACCAAACCCCTGCCGGGATCGCTAGTTATTAACCCTCTGACTCGTCATCAACTTTTTACAAAGTATTTATCCCAAGAAAACCAGGCCGAAGAACCTCTAAAAGGTGACTCAAAACCAATTCTGCGAAGCAGACGAAGAAAAGCGCCCATCACAGGAGGCCCGACCTGCACACGCAGGGACGGCTCCCGGGGGGCCAGCGGGGTCCCCCCGGCTTCACCTTCCAGGTGGCGGCCTGCACCAGCCGCAGCGCCCGCGTGGGCCTGGGCCCCCTCCGCCTGCCCGCCCCCTCCTGCCTCAACCGTCCACCAGCCGAGATGCTCCCAAAACTCACAGCCGGAAACACACGAACCACAGGTGTGAAGGGAGAGTGAAGACCGGAGACTTGCTGCCAGGCCTCGCGGGCTGTGACGGGGCACGTGCCACACCAGCCCCGGGCAGCTGCGCTCAGGGGTCCACCACGCGGGTCTCCGTGCCACAGCCCGAGGGGACACGTCCCCCCACCCCGTGTCCACGTGTGCACCCGAGGGGAACCCTGGGTCAGCGCGAGGGTCCTGTCTGGGGACCGACCACACACCGAGGGGCGAGGCCCAAGGTGCGGCCAAACCATGGCTTTTGGATCTGCGGGGAGCACCAGGGGGAGCCCCGGGCACGTCACGGTCGCTAAAGGTGTTCCGAGGGGTAGAGGGATCTTATCAGATGCTCCAGGTGAGGGGGGAGCTGTGCACACGGAGCGTGGGGGCGTGGCCCTGAGGTTTGCGGAGGTGCCACCAGGCACCTGCTCTGACGTGTCACCACCTGTAACGGCCCCGGGACACGCCCGCCGCCACAGGCCCGTTAGGTCGGGACCTGTATGTCCGCGCGAGCTGCACACGCTTCCCGGCAGGGCAGTTCTTTGCCCGGGCGTCTCTGGCTCGCTCTTGCCCAGGGAATTCTGAATTCCACTTGAGGTGTGAGCCTCTCCCGGGCTCTCTGGACACAGGGAAGGTATAAAAGTCTGGACGGAAGCGTCACCACGTGTGACCTGCCTGTGATGCAGGGCTGATGCCCCTGGCGGGCACCTGCTGGCCGGTGGGCCTCCCGGGCCCTGGAGGGCCAGAGGCGTGCATCCCGGCGCAGCGAGGTGCAGGCCACGGCTCTCAGGGCCGGGCTCAGATCACATTCACGCCCCGTTTCTCAGCGTGTGCCGTGGCTCCTCTGTCCCCGCAGGGCCGAGAAGGACCACTGGCGGGAGCGACCGTCCCGGGGGCACGGATGCAGGTGCCTATAGCCTGAGCACAGCCTGGGGGACATGCCCATGATGGGGTGGCCTGGCTGTCCTGGGCTCCCGTGGCTTCCTGGGCCCCCGACTGTGCTAAGGCGCCTCCCTTTGGGCTGAAGGCCTGTGCTTTGCCACGTGGCGCCGCCGTGGGTTTGTTCACGTGTCCGGGTCCAGGCTACTGGGCTGTCTGGGTGCCCCTTGGTGCCTCTGGCCCTGCTTTCTGACCTGCAACATGGGGCTGCGACGGGAGGGCACAGCGACATGAAGGGTCCAGCCCAAGGGCAGGGCTGCCGGGAGACCTTGGCCAGGGGGGGGTGCGGTGCTGGAGGGAGCTGCCCACATGCTGCTCGTGGGGGTCTCTGCCCCTCGTCTAACGTGTGCGTCAGTCTGGAGGATCTGATAAGATTCCTTTAAAATGCAGATTGTTATCTGACTTTGTCAATGAAAAAATCATGACCGTTTCCACCCGACCTGGGTCACCTCCGAAAATTCCCCGTCTTCACTCTCCCTCCAACAAAGACACATGTCACCGCCAGCTGGACGCAGAGCTCCTCCAGGCACCACCGGCCGGGCGTCGTCCGGGGTCCTCCACCCCCGCTGTCATGACCCCGGGGTGTGTGGCACAGGTGCCCGATGGCGGGTGGGCCCTTGCGGGGAGGCGTGCCCCGACCCTCTCCTCGGCTCTCTAGGCCCCACTGATGAACTGCCGGCCTCGGATGCAAATCTCCCGGCGACACCTGGCCGCCCAGGCTCCGGGCCGGTGGGGGAAGGGGGCCAGCGGCTCTGGGCACAGCAGCAGGTGTGCAAGCAGGTGCTCCCGGCCCGGCTGGCTGGGGCAGGGCGGGGCAGGAGGCCGTCGCCGCGCCCGGGGGCTCTCGCCCGGCTGGGTGCCCCCTTCCCTGCTCCCAGGGACCCCCGCACAGTGGAGCGTGCGCTCCAGGGGGAACGGGACCCTGCTCGTGCAGCTCAGCTGCTTCAACCTGGAGCCACGGGGCCACGGGCACGCCCCGCCCCTCCGCTAAGCTAGATCTGGGCAGGCGCGGCCTGGGCAGGAGCGTGTTCGTCCTGTGCCCGGCCCGGGGGAGGACGCTTCCAGGGCCCAGTGCCGCGGGGTGCCCCCCCCCCGCCCCTGCCCCGAGCCACCGGGCCGCGGGCCGGAGAGCTCTGCATCCAGCGCGGGTGGGGTGGGAGACGTGCACGTGACAGGGGAGAAAACCTGAGTGCACTAACGGGCAGCGGCGGGGGCTGCAGTAAGAGGCTGAGGTTGGCAGTGGAGGCCGCGAGCGGGTCGGCTCTTACCTGACCACCTGCAAAAATGACAGGGGTGGAGGCGGGCTTTGGGCGGTAGGGGATGGTGGCACCTTTCGGTGGGGACTAGGAAAAGGGACAGGAGAGGGAGAGAGAGCATTAGAGCAGCTTCGCAGGCCAGGACCTGGTGAGGGGGCCTCCAACCCGAGCCCGCCCCCGCGCTGCCGCCCGCCCCGCCCTGACCCCAGGCTGTGGCGGCCCCGGACGGTGGGGACGCCCCGCAGCAGGAGGGTGCGCGACGGGGACCCTCCTGGGGCCGCCTCTCTCCTCCAGGCCGCCACCAACCCCGCGGGGTGCCCTGCCAGGTCCTGACAAGGCGGGGAGAGAGGCCAAGACCCTGCCCGTGCTGGGGGCTGCGGGCCGTGTAGACGGGCTGACCCTGTCTGTGCTGGGGGCTGCAGGCTGTGTAGACGGGCAGACCCTGTCTGTGCTGGGTGCCGTGGGCTGTGTAGACAGGCAGACCCAGACCTTGCCCATGCTGAGGGCCGTGGACCGTGTAGACGCGCCGATCCTGCCCATTGTGGATGCGGCGGGCCATGTGGACGGGCAGACCCTGCCTGGGCTGGGGGCCGCAGGCCATATAGACAGGGAGATCCTATCTGTGCTGGGGACCATGGGCCGTGTAGACAGGCAGACCCAGACCCTGTCTGTGCTGGGGGCCGCAGGCCATGTAGACAGGCAGATCCTGCCCACGCTGGGTGCCACAGGCTGTGTAGACGGGCAGACCCAGACCCTGTCCGTGCTGGGGCTGTGGGCCGTGTAGACAGGGAGATCCTGCCCATGCTGGGGGCTGAGGGACGTGTAGACAGGGAGATCTTGTCTGTGCTGAGGGCCGCAGGCCATGTAGATGGGCAGATCCTGCCTGTGCTGGGGGCTGCGGGCAGTGTAGACAGGAAGATCCTATCTGTGCTGGGGGCCGCAGGCCATGTAGACAGGCAGATCCTGCCCATGCTGGGTGCCGTGGGCCGTGTAGACGGGCAGACCCAGACCCTGCCTGTGCTGGGGGCTGCGGGCCATGTAGATGGGCAGACCCAGACTCTGCCCATGCTGGGGGCCACAGGCTGTGTAGACGGGCAGATCCAGACCCTGCCGGTGCTGGGGGCTGCGGGTCATGTAGATGGGCAGATCCTCCCGTGCTGGGGGCCGCAGGCCATGTAGAAGGGCAGACCCAGACTCTGCCCATGCCGGGGGCCACAGGCTGTGTAGACGGGCAGATCCAGACCCTGCCGGTGCTGGGGGCTGCGGGTCATGTAGATGGGCAGATCCTCCCATGCTGGGGGCCGCGGGCCCTGTAGACAGGCAGACCCTGCCCGTGCTGGGGGCCATGGGCCATGTAGATGGGCAGATCCTGCCCATACTGGGAGCCGCGGGCCGTGTAGACAGGCAGGTGGCCACCTGAGGGCCGGGTGCCGTCGCTCTGCACGTGGGCCTGCCTGGCTGTGGTCCTCTGCGAGAATCTCCGTCCCCGTGTCGTGCTCGGGGGAAGGCTGGGCTTGCTGGGCTGCTCCGCCACGGGGGCCCCATGCCCAGAGCCCCCGAGCCTCACTGGGCCGGGCTCACGATGCTCAGCAGGCATCATCGCAGGAGGGCGAGAAGCATCTGACTCATATTAACAAACAAGCAACTTTTTAAGAAAGCTTAGGGTTCAAATGAAGTAATTCGCAGTCGTGATGAGCGCTGCCGTCATCTCCTTTGCGTGTTCTGTGTCCAGAAGTGCAGGACCTCTGTCTCGCGGTGAACGATACCCCCAAGCACAGAAGTCAGCCAGGGTCTGCTAAGGTGAGCCCAGGGCATCGTGCAGAGGCCCCAGGGCAGGAGGGGCCAGGGCGGCCTGATGCCGCCGGGAGTCGTCCAGACCACGGCCCGCACCCTGGGTGACGACCTGAGGGCCCCGCCTGGGAGACACAGCACAGAGGGCGTCAGAACAAGCCGGGCCGTGCGATGATGGGCACGTGGTACGACCTTGAGCACGTGGTTTGACCTTGCACTCTGACTTGGGGTGCTGCGTGACCTCGGGAGTCCGTGGGGCCAGGGCCGGGGGTGCCGCGTGACCTCGGGAACACCGCACAGCCTTGCTGTGAGGTAGGAAGGGCTGCTGAGGGGCCTGCGAGCTGACCCAGCGCGGCTGGTGCCTCCAGGATAGGCAGGGCTCAGGGTTTCTGCAGTTTCTGACCAAATGCCTCCAGAATCATCTCTGTGCGGCCAGGGATCGCTGCAGCCTCAGAGGAGACCGGGTTCACGGTGGCATGCCCACGACTAAGCCGGGCTGGCTGGAATGACCGTCTCCCTGCACCCGCGGTCCAGCAGTGCCCCGTCCCCGCGCAGGCGCCCCGCTCCATGGTGCCCGCTGGCCCCACCGACGGCAGCCCCGCCGTCCCAGTACCGTGCGTGTGAGTCTCGCTGACATCTGACAGGAGAGAGGCCCTGGGAGGACAGCGGGCACTGCCGGGCGGGCTCCGGGGTGCCGAGGGTGCTCTCCACGGGGCCCCACGGACTTCCTGCCCCCGAGGGCAGCCCTTCCATGGCCATTCAAGGGTGTGCGGCCACCCCAGAGCTAAGCCTGGAAGTCCTCTAATCTTTGCTCTGTTTGTTCGGCTGTTCTTCACTTAAAAATAGGCTCAACTTGGGCAGCCCCGATGGCTCAGCGGTTAGCGCCGCCTGCAGCCCGGGGTGGGATCCTGGAGACCCGGGATCGAGTCCCACATCGGGCTCCCTGCATGGGGCCTGCTTCTCCCTCTGCCTGTGTCTCTGCCTCTCTCTCTCTCTCTCTCTGTCTCTATGAATAAATAAATAAAATAGAAAAATAAAAAAAAATAGGCTCAACTGTTCCTAGGCGCGGTGGCTCCTCCTCCCCTGGAGAGACAGCAGCTCCCCCGCCGTCGGAGCGCTTCGGGCCCCGGTGAGAGCGAGGTGTCGCCTCGGCCCTGTGTTTGCCATTCACGCCTGCCACGTGGGCTTCACGGTTCAGAGTCGCGTGAGCCTCCCGGCCGTCGGGAAGCACACTGGGCCGTCCCAACCACAGCCCGGGGCCCCGGCACCCACGGCTGTATCTGCAGGGCCACGTCTGACCGCGAGCGTGGTGCGGGCGGCACCACTTGGGAGGAGTCCTGGGGAGACCGTGCGTCTTGTTCCAGCCCTTGCTCTTGGACGCGGGAGGCTGTGTCCTTCCTGGAGTCGTTCCCGTGACTGTGCCCTCTGCGGCGCCGCTGCCACTCAACGGGAGTGTGCTCGGGCCACCGGGCACCCGCCAGTGCGGAGGAGGGCGCGGCCCGCTCGCCGCCTCTGGGGTCCCAGCAGCAGGGGATGGAAGGAAGGGCAGATAGGCACCAGCTGTCGCCGGGACCGTCAGGACCACAATGTTTGGAAAAACAGTTCTGACTTCACAAAATATACTTCGGGGGAAAAAAACAAAAACAAAAAAACTATGCAATTGTTTTTCTTTCTTTTTTTTTTTTTGCAATTGTTTCAAAGAGCTGGACATGGGTCTGAACAGCAAAGAAAGGACAAAAGAGGGGAGCCCACAGATACTGGCCGAGGCACAGCGCCCTCGGGAGGCCGCGGCCGGGGAGCCCCGGTGCAGGGGCCGCCCTCACGGGGACCCCAGCTCCCAGCACGGCCGTGGGAGCCACAAATCCTTCACTGTGGCCCACGACCAGCAGCTGGTGAGAGCGTCCGTGCATCCTGCTGCATCTGCGGTATTGGCTGCAACTTAAGTCGCAGGATTTTTTTTTTTTTTCCTAAAAAAATTTCAGGAGAGGCTTTGGTCTCTCTCAGCCGTTCTCTCCTCTGCTTCTCCTTTGGTTCAAACCGTTCTGTTTACTCCTCCCTGACTTTGCAACTTGGCATTTTAGCTGCTTTTCCTCCTTGGTGCCCCAGTGGGGCTGCAATGCCTGCAGGCGTGGCGAGCACGGGCCTCCTGCCTCCCCTTCCTCCGTGGGTCTGCGGCAGCGGGATCCTGCCCAGCGCAGACCTGCACCGTGCTTAAGGCCTGACCCTTTACGAGGCCCCTCGCCCTGCAGACTAGGGACCTCTCCTCTGATTGTGACCTCACACGTCTGCTTCCCTGGCTCCCCAGCCACGGTGATGGGCACGCCCGGGGGGACAGGCACCTGCAGCTGTCCCTCCCGCGGCACCTGCACACCTAGCGAGGCTCTCGCTCAGGTTGCCTTGGGCAGGGGGTGGTCTCGGGTCATGCTCCTGACCCCCGGCCCCCACAGAGCCCTGACCACGTGAACTCTCTGGGCCCCGGCCACGTGCCACAGCCAAGACAAAGCAGCCCCGGCCAGTGTGGCATGAGGAGTAGGCCGGCGGTGAGCCCTGGACGCCCACACTGTACCTCCAGCATGACCACACAGATCTGCTTGACGCACTGGATGATGGCGTCGGGGGTCCCCGAGATGGTCACCGCCCGCTCTGTGGAGTTGGGCAGCATGTCCCCGGCCACCTGGACCTGGGCACCTGTGGACTGCAGAAACGAGACATTGGAAGGGGAACGGGAGGGGCGGGGGGTGGTGGCGGCCTGTGCTGGAGCAGTGCTCCTGGGTTCTCGAGACGCATCGTGTCGAGGGTGCAGCGCACGACACCCACCCCGATGGCACCCCTCCATGCCCGCCTGGCACCCCAGCCCTCTGCGCATCCCCTGGGGCCCGTGGGCAGGGCTGGTCCGGCGTCTCAGCCTGCAAGGGGCATGTGCAGAGGTGGAGACAGATATGGAATCACTTTCTTCCAATACGTGGAACTTTCTCGTCCTGTGGAGCCGGAGGTCACAGAGAAAGATGGATTCTAGAGGGGCCTAAACTCTGTGCCCGTCTTTCCTTGATGGAACCAGGACGGGGTGGCCGCCCGCCTTCTAGAGAGGGAAGGATTCAGGCTTTCCCTGAATGAAGGACCAGGAATTTAAAGCCTGCACGTCCCCATCCTGCTGGGTTGGCTCAGGCCTGTGGTCCCCGGAGGCACCTGCCTGGGGGCAGAGAGCGCAGCCTCCATGGCCTGGAGCCACATGGACGGTCCGGCCTGCTCCTGGTTGGGGTGCACAGCCCCGTGGCGGGTGCCCGGCACCCCTGCACACCCGTGACAGGCTCCACGCACACTCCAGGGCTTCCCCCGGCCCATCCTTCGGTGTTTGGATGGCTCTTCCCTACCGTAAGCTCATCCCGGCAGGGCAGGGCGCGAGGTTCCGGGCCTCCCCGGGGGCAGGCCTCACCCTCCCGGGGGCGGGGCGCCAGCAGCCGGGGAGGGTCCTGTTACCTCTCTGATCTCCTTGATCTTGGAGCCGCCTTTGCCAATGAGGGACCCACACTGGCTGGCAGGGACCACCAGCCTCAGTGTCACCGGTGGTTTGCTGGTGGCAGGGCTGTTGCTCATAGAATTAATGATGTCCTGGGGAGGGAGAAAGACACTCGTGGGGGCCTGCGGCGTATACACCAGTGAGTGCAAACCCCAGGCTCGGGGAGAAAGAAGCTGGTGGGACAGGGTCCCCGCGCCCAGAGGCACACGGTCTGGGGGGGGTGGGGGCTCAGGGAGGACAAGTGCAGGGACTCGGGTGCTCCCAGGCAGGCTCCCAGGCAGAGGCGCTCGGTGCACAGTGTGGCAAACGGCTGGGTGTCCAGAGGACGGACGCCGCGGACCAGCGGATTATGGAGGCTCGAAGGCCAGCTGAGCTCAGAAGGGCAACGAGAGGACAGCCAGGTGGAGCGAAGGGGACCCACACCTGCCACCCACGTGCAGACACACAGGCCGCCGCGGCCGCGGTGCTCCCGTGGACGGGCAGGGACGGGCAGTGCAGACGGAGCCTGGACCCAGGCCCTGGCCTCTGCCCGTAGGGCGCGGCCCCGCGTGGAGGGGCTGGACACACGGGGGGCGCGCTCTGGAGGGAGATTATTCCTCAGCTTGATCGCCCTCTGAGTAAAAACACTGGCTGCGTCTCTATAAAGTCTCTGGGAACTTGAACAGCATCGGAAACACATGAAAACCTTGATTTAACCTGCTAGCACAGCTACAGACGTGCCAGGCACGGGAGTGCACGCGTGCGGGGGTGTGCGCGCCGGCGGGACGGTCCCGGGTCCAGCCCGCGGCCAAGCTCGCAGCCCGGGGAGGAGCCGCGGGGGCGGCTGGGGCTCGTGCCGGGCGCTGGGCCCACGGACACGTGAGGGGGGTGACGGGGGGTGATGGGGGGTGACGGGGTGACGGGGGGAGGGTGCTCACGGCCGCCAGGGCGTCTCTGCTGGGCCGCGGTGCGCCCACGTCCAGACAGGGATGGCCCCAGAGGCCCAGCGGAGACCATGCCCTCCCCCAGCACGCGGGGTCCCTGGGGCCGACCTCACCTCCTCAAACTTGTAGGCAATCATGGCAAAGGCCTTGAAGATGGCGTCTGTGGGGCCCGTGATGGTCACGATTCTCTCGGGGCAATTTCCCTCAGAGATGTTGATCCTCGCGCCGCTCTGGAAGGGGGGACACACCCGGGGCAGCGTTACGGGGGGCAGTACCGGGCCGGGCTCCCCGGGACTCCAGCTGCCGCGGCACGAGCTCCCCCACTAGCCCGTGAGGCCCCCCCGGGGCCATCCCCCAGAGCGCGGTCCCCGCCACGCCGCGCCCCTGCGGCCCCCGAACGGGCCTGACCGGGGGTGTGCAGGCCAGAGGCGCGCGGCCGTGGCGGGGCTCCCTGGGGCAGGACCCTGGCCTCCCGCCTCCCGCCCGCCCACAGCTGGGACTCCACGGCCAGCCCACTCACCTCTTCCCGCATCTTTTTCACAGTCTCTCCTTTCTGGAAGAAAGATTCAGACAACGGGTTGAGGCGTCGCTCTGGGCTTCCGCGCGGGTCGGGGCCCCGGGCCGGCCGAGAGCCTGACGGACGTGCACAAGCCGCCGAGGGGCCCCTCAGGGGAGGCAGCCGGGCCCTGGCCCGCTTGGGGTCAGTCTCACATCCCCCACATCCCTCGTCCTCGTCACGGGCAAAGTGGGGCCAGGCCAGGGCGGGCTCGCCCTTGAGGGAGGACCTGGAGCACGAGACGCCCCGACACCTGCCCCTCCCACAGGCTTTCGACTCCCAGATCTGCGCTCGCGTTCCCCACGGCCGCAGGGGCCACAGGGCACACGTCGGGGAAGCAGAGGCGCAGGCCGCGGGGCGGGGGCGGGGGGCGGGCTGGGGCTGCTGGGGGCCTGGATTCCAGCGGAATCCGCGTCCGCGGCGCACACCGCTGCGTGGCCTGCAGCCGGCACAGGCCCGCTGGCTCCGTCACCTTCTCAGACAGCCCAGCGGAGGCGGAGCAGTTACCTTCCCGATGATGCTTCCAACTTCCTGCAGGAAAAGAATCACAGAAAGATGATGTCACAGCAGCAGGAGAGACGCCTGCGGCAGACGCTATGCGGCAGCGAGGACGGGGGGCAGGACGGCCAGGGAGTCTGGGGGCTCCTGGTGCCCATGTGGCCTCGGTCAGACCCAGGCCCTGCCTGTGACGGACACACAGACGTGCAGAAGCAGGCGGACCGCTGCCTACAAGTGCGTCAGGAGGCCCCCGCGGTGCACGTCAGGCCGCAAGGACCCCCCCCCCCCGTGATGTAAAGGTGATAAGCGCCGCCACCGCCTTCTCACGGTTGAGGAAGCGGCCTGTGCAGACGCCCGTGGGCACGGCCCCGCCGTTCTGGAGCCCGGAGCCCGCTGCAGCGGGGACTCGCTCCTGGCCAGGCCACACGGCGCCTCCGCTGGGGTCACACCCACCCGGCGCCACGAGCCAGCCCGCTTCCTGCCCCGAGGGGGGCCTTGCAACCACACTCATTGCCCTTATTGCAGGGAAGTCCTCGGTAGTGACAATGCTCCCGGCGAAGGTCCAAAGTCCCACGGGGGCCGTGGGGGGACGAGGAGGGGGCGGCAGCAGCCAAGGCGGCTGGGCACAAGGTGGCGACCCTCGGGCGGCCGCGGCGCCCCAGCTCCCGGGGCAGGCTGATGCCCGTGGCTGCCGCTGCGGCCCCCGGAGGTGGCGGCGGGCGCACTCCCAGCGGCTGACGGCCTGCAGCAAGCGCCACCCACACTCAGGAGACGCCAAGGGGACGGGGGGGGGGGGGGGGGCTCACAGCACAAACACACGACAGACGGAGGACTCAGGGCGGTGCCTGTGCTGCTGGGCTGGACTTGGGGTAGGAACTCACGGGACCCAGTCCATAGGGACAACACGGAAATACGGTTTACACACACGTGCGCATACACACACGTGATTGTACGGACACAGAGGATACGCGAGTCGGCGGCCTCGGGCTCCGTACCTTTCCATGCATCAGCAGGCGGATCGTCAGGGTCACGTTCAGGCCGCCTTCTGAGACCTTCGACTCCATCTTTCTCCCAAAATGCGGCTGGGGGTGATGGCTTAGGAGGCCGAGGGCGCCGTGAGGAAGGACGGATGGGGCCCAGACGGTGTCACCTGGAACGAGGAGGCACAGCTGCCGTGAGCCGCGAACGCTGTCCACGGCCGCACGGTCGGGGGCGTCCGGCCCGCCAGGACCTCTGGCCTCTGGGGGGAAGGGTGCTGCCCTCGCGGTCCTGCTGGTGACACACCAAGGCTCAGGGAGGCGAAGGCTCCTGGGAGGGCGGCCCCATCCGCAACAAGGCCCGGCCCTGGGACGTGCCCCGGGCTGACCTTGCAGGGCTGGGGCGCACGGCAGCCGGGGCGTGGGTTTGGGGAAGCCGGGCAGGGGCCGACTCTGGGTGTGACCAGGCGGGTCGTGGAAGCCCTCTGGCCTCAGCTGCCGCCTCCGTACGGAGGGAAACAGGCCTGGCTCCGCCACCCGGACAGGGCAGGGGTCCTCGTGCATGGCCACAGCGTTCCCACCCCTGGCCAGGACGTCATAGGTGCTGGTGGCCCCTGCAGGTAGAGGGCCAAGGATCCCCCGTGACCCCATTCCTAAAGTGGACCTAGTGTCTGTTAACTCAACGGCCACACATCTCCCTTGTGAAGTCTTCCCGGAAGACACTCTGCATCCCCGTATCCCAGTCCACGTTTATTGGATAATTTCCGCAGACGATGGGCCTAGCTCTTAGCCCAGCGAGCAAAACGGAGGCTTCACTTTATGATTTACAGGCAGAACACGATGACGGATAATAGGCCTGAAGGACCCCTGGGAGGAGTGACCAGACTGTCCCGGCGGGAGCCCCTCCTTGAGGAGGGTTCGGGTTCTCCTCCAGTGTACCTGAGGGACAGGCACCCGTGAGGATCAGGAAGGGAGGTCAAAAAAAATGAAAGATAAAGTAAATAAAATAAATAAAGGAAGGAAGGAAGGAAGGAAGGAAGGAAGGAAGGAAGGAAGGAAGGAAGGTCGGTCAGGTGGGGCCAGGGCAGGGGCACAGCAAGGGGACACAGTAGGACCAGGAGAGGTTCCAGAACAGGCGGGAAAGGTCGCAGAACCAGAATCTCAGGCAGGCCAGGCCCAGGCGCCGGAGGGATACTTCAGTCTGCAGGCAGCCTGGGTCATGGGGGTGGGCTGCTCGGGGGGCCCTCCCGGGGTGCCAGCAGTCAGGGCAGCGAGGAGCTGGAGAGCCGCCCGCCTGGGTGCATGGGGAGGTGTCAGGGCGCAGGCCGTGGGGGTGCCACAGGCCTCTGCGGGGGCGAGGAGTGGCCAGCCTCGGAGGGGGTGGGTAGGCGACGGGGCAGTGGCCACAGGGTGTGACAGCAGGGTGCTGTCTGGGGGACAGCGAGGAAAGGAGGCCTGGCTGGGGGAGATTCCAGATGACCCGGGGCCCAGGGATCCCCAGAGGGGCACCAGGTGGACCCCGAGCGCAGAGAGTGTGCACACCTGCCCGAGTGCACCGCTGGGAGGCAGGTGGGTGCCCGGGGCCTGATGGACGGGGCCTGGGGACCTGAGTGACACCAGGGCCAGCTCCGTGGGCACCGCCACATGTGGCCCCACGCTTGGCCCGAGTCCTGCAGGAGCCCTGAGGCCCGTGTGCCCCCCACCCCGGAGTCTAGACACCAGCCCTCCGATGCGACCTGTGGAGACTTGAGGCTCCATCCACGACTCTGCAGTCGGTCCTTGTTCTGGGGAAGATATCGACCCTCTGAGCAACAGGGATCCTGACGTGAATGCTCAAGACCTAGCAAAGGTCCTAGGCCAAGTCCTAAAACCACCCTATATGTTAAAGGTGTCTCTGTCCCCCGGCCAACACGGGCGCCACTAGCCCCTCGTGGCCACTTGGATCTGGAACAAGCTCGCCAGCCGCGCCATGTGCCCCGTCGGCGGGTCTGGCTGCAGGAGGGCACCCGGAGGAGGACCCTCGGCAGGAGGAGACACGCGCTCGACGACTGCTGCGGCAGCAGGTGCACTGTGCTCCCTCTTGCACAGACACCCCGCGGCAGCCGAGGAACCCGCCAACGGAGGGGATCGCGTGCGGCCGGGCGGGGCGGCCGGGCCTCCCTCTTAATTAGCAGCCTCTCCTCCCGCGTCCGGGGACAGCAGGGCCCTGCGGCCTCTGTTATGCAACTGTTTCCAGCCCCAGCAGAGAAAGTGGGTCAGCAGGCGCCGGGGGTGCTTCGGGGTCCAGGCTGTCGATCGTCATCTGTCACACAGGCCAGCGAGCTGCTGCAGCGGCCGCTGCCGTCCTCCGTCACGCGGCGGAGCGCGAGCAGCACGGTGCCCTCTATCTGCCGGGGACAAGGAGTGGCCCTGCGCGGTGTGTAAGGTCGCCTGCGACTCGGTGCCCGACTGAACCCACCAGCCGCAGAGGGGCGCCAGGCAAGTGGCTGCCCCAGGACTGTGACTCCTCCAGGATGCAGGCTTGTCCCAGTCCTGCCGGGCCCCGGGACGCCTGTGCATCACGGCGGCCCCGAGAGCGCCCGGGCCGCGTCTGCAGCAGCGCAGGGGCAGCACCTGGGGTCACGCTCACCCAAAACCAAGTGGACGGGACACGGTCGGAAAAGATTACTGGGACTCACTCCTGCCCACACTCGGTGTGCCGGCCAGGACCCCACTTCCGTCCTCTGCAGTGCTGGGAACTTATTTGTCATTCGTCCAGTGGGAGGAGGAGGGGACACAGGCGTGGTCCCTGCAGGCCCGGGAGGTGCACGCGCCTGAGGAAGCCCGCCCACGTGGCCCCCTGCCCACACGCGTCTGACCCAGCCAGCCCTCCCGCCCCTGCCCACCAGCCTCAGGCCCAAACGTGGGGCTGCCTCAGGTCCCCTCTGTGGCCCCATCACGTTCACTAGCAAACCCAGAGACACGGACACGGAGTGAATTAATTCATCTTTTCTAGTCTACTTCTTGCCTGATACGGGTGTCCTGTTCTGGAAAATTCCTCTCGACGTGTGGCTTTGGCTGCATCCCGCTAATTTTGATATTTGTGCTCTTTCGGACGCGTTTCAAAATACTCTCCAATTTCTCTTCGACGTCCTTTCTGGCGCGTGGGATTTTGTGCGGCACGTCACCGGGCGCCCAGTGTTTGGAGCCCGCCTGGATCGTTCCTCCCGGCGACCTGCAGTTAACTCTCGTGGGGGGCAGACAGCGCGTCTTGCGACGTCTCAGGGGCGTCCTGCGTACTACGCGGTGCGTGGGGCGCTGTGCCCTCTGGCGCTGGGGCCTGCGGTCCGGGGGGGCCTGGGGGCCGGGCGGGCCCTGCGTCCTGCGCTGGAAGCGGGCAGCCTCGTTCCCACCGTGCCGCCGCCGCCCCGAGGGGGTCCACCGTCTGCTCGTTCCCGGCGGCCCGGCTGTCATCTGATCGGCGGTAGTGCGACGTGTGTCCTTCCATCTATTATTTCTGAGCGTCTGTGTGTCCTTATAGCTCGTTTCCCGTCGGCAGGGGCGGCGGGCCCAGCCTTTGATCCTCCTCTGCTTGAGACCCGGGTCTGGACCGCGGGCACCCTGCACCTGGGGCCTCCGCCCTCCTACCTGCCTCTACGCTACCACCTGGTCCTTGTCCCCCCGTTTCTGGTGTTTTCTCCTCCGCCGCCTCTTGGAAGAGCTGCATGCCTGCAGGATTCCACGCAACCTCTGTCCCTGTTTCACGGTTTTAGGGGCACCCTGGGGCCTGCAGCACCCCTTCACCTCACCCAGTACCTGTGCCACTGAGCCCAGGGCGGAGCAGCTCACGTGGGTGCCAGCTGTGCCTCTGTTTCCCCTCAGGCCTCTGCACTGCTGCCGTGGCCCTTGGGTTCTCCTGGGTTATAAACCAGCACTGTTCTTTCTTTCTTTCTTTCTTTTTTTTTTCTTGTTGTTATTTTTTTTTTTTTTTAAAGAAAGCAGTTCTTTTTTTTTTTTAATTTTTATTTATTTATGATAGTCACAGAGAGAGAGAGAGGGGCAGAGACACAGGCAGAGGGAGAAGCAGGCTCCATGCACCGGGAGCCCGACGTGGGATTCGATCCCGGGTCTCCAGGATCGCGCCCTGGGCCAAAGGCAGGCGCCAAACCGCTGCGCCACCCAGGGATCCCTCTTGTTGTTATTTTTGATATAAGTGGCTTCTCTTGCTGCCCCCCACCTCCCTCCTTGTGCTGCCCCGACCTCCCCGTTCACCTGCTGACCCCGACCTCCCCCCTCTCCTGCTGCCCCCTGACCTCCCCCCTCCTGCTGTCCCCCCACCTCCCCCCCTGCTCCCCAACCTCCCCCCTCGTGCTGCCCCCCTCCCTCCCTTCTTGTGCTGCCCCCTCCCCCCTCCTGCTGCCCCTCCCTCCCCCCTCCTGCTGCCCCTCCCTCCCCCCTCCTGCTGCCCCCACCCTCCCCCCTCCTGCTGCCCCCACCCTCCCGCCCCTGCTGCTGGCAGGAAGACTCCCACTGTCTCACTTGTCTCAGCATCTGTAATGTGCCCCTCCCATGGCACATGTAAGGATTTTCCCTGAATCCCTGGCTCTGAACCACTTACTTAGCCTGTGCCTTCTCGTACTTTCCTCAAGCCTTTCTGTGCTCATTGAGCTTCTTGGATTTGTGGCCTTAGAGTTCTCAAATTTGGAGAATTGTGGCCTTTGTTTCCAAACACACTTTTTGCCTTGCCCCACCCCCCTGGCCCCGAGGGCATGTCTGTGGGCTGCTTGACTCGAGCCCAGCTCACTTCTGCGCCTCCTGTGGGAGGTTCTGGTTCCATCCTGAAGTCTACAGCCTCCCCCGCAGCTCCCGTGAGCAGCTAATCCCACCCAGGGCACTTTTCACCTCAGACACGAGTTTTCACTCTAGAACCTCAATCTGGGTCTTGGTTACATCTTCGACGTCCCCGTTTAACACACGTGACCCTTCGCGTCTTGAACGTGCTGGGCACGGTCTTGATAATGGTTCCAACGTCCACGTCCCGCAGGCGTGCAATGGTCACTTCTGGGTGGTGGTCAGGAGGCGAATGCCGAGCTGGGACAGCGCAGGCCTCTGCTCCCCCGGGAGGGGCTCACACCGCGGGTGCTCAGCAGCCCCAGCAGACGTGGCCTCCCGGGACCACAGCGTCAGCAAGCCG